AAAATGAATCAATATTGTTAGCATCCCTGGCTTGTAATTTAATCACTCGCCTAAACTACACTTCCACTCCCACCCCGACACTTAGAACAAGTTGAAGTTGAAGAGAAAGCATTGGGGAGGGGATGACTATCGTGATTTTGTTTCTGAACAATGTAAACAACTTTTGATTTGACTGCTTCCCTATCAGAAAATCATTGTTAAGGTAAATTATATCACATTGTTAATTACATTGTAGGCCTATAACTTTTTTAAAAACATCTTGCTGCACTGTAACTGATATTATGTATGTATTGTGCATGTTCTATCATACAAATATTAATTATGATGTCGAATTACGCCCAGAAAATCAATAAAGCAAAACATAATCCTTCCCCGCACCAAAATTTATTTTTTTTAATTTAAAAAAAACTGAACCAAAAAAACCCAAAAAAACAAGACAAATAAAACCCTGTCACACCAGGAGGCGTAAGGGGAGGGGCGGGTTCTACGGAAAGCGAGGGGTGGCGAACACCTCTCGCTTTCCCAGCCATACCACCCCCTCCCCTCCCCAAACAGCGCCATTGCTGAAAGTGTGAGGGTTTTTTAGGGCTTGTCAGCGTACGGCACGCGGGCAGAAGTATCGCGGGCTCAGTAAACAAGAGTTTGTGACATCACGACACAAATCAGTAAGCCCGTCCGAAGTCCACGAGTAGCAACTCCGGTAGAGGGCAAGACTCAAGCCCGCTCGCAAGCCTCTGGCACGAGCCGTCCGTCGCTCGCAAGCCTTCGATTAATCGAGCAGACTCCAGCCCTACTCTACACTGTAGTGTACCCCGCGTGCGGGGTCACATGCTTTCCGAGTCTCGCGGAAGGATTGATGAAAAATAATTCCAAGTTAATAACTTTATTCTAATAGAAAATGAACTGATCTTTTAATTGATACATACCTGTTATAAGTCGGTATTATACATTTTTTGTGTAAAAAGGGATCTTTAAACATTTTGACGGAATTTTAAAAAGCTTTCTATAAAGACGCCAAAGGCTAAACTTATATCACGGGAAAGCCCGTTTAAAGCTCTACAGTTCTCTGCCAATGAAAAAACGGTATTTAATCATCCCTCGTTCCGCGAAGCATTTGAACGCACGCGTGTCAATTTTTCAACCGGCCGACCTCGCATTCCGACCGCGAGGGGCTTCGCTTTCGTCGGCGATTCTCCAGCTCCTAATAATCGGACATATAAACAATTTACACCATCGTAACGAGGAAAAGCTGAACTTTTACAAGGTGTACGGCATTTGGTGTTTTATAGCGAAAGGGCAAAGAAACAGCGATCGGAATTACCCCGATTTTACCGATACCACGCGGTCGGAAGGCCGCGAGTGCCCGCGATGCCGTGTTTACGCTACCCACAAAATGAGCGAACTCGCATCCAAAGAAGACGCAACAAACCTCGTCCACTCTCTTCCAAGAGACCATTGGTCGCACTTGCACTCAATCACTAGGGCCTACATGATGTTGAGCGTAACTTATTGCTTTCCATATCATGTCCTTTCTCTTTCCTCGCACTGGCACGCGTGCAAGACGTGTCTTAGTCTTAGGGACTGAGTGGGTGGGTGTACACAAGAATTGGGCGTGGAAAGATGGCAGAAAGAAATGCAAGTGTCATTAATTGTATCCACCCCATATCCCTTTGGCTACTGGACAATAAAACTCAAAAGTAAAAAGGCAAATTAAGAAATATGTAATGTAGATCTACAGTGGAACTCGGGATTCAACAAGAACTCAGATTCATCGAGGGGAGATGGATTCCCCGTTTTTTTTTCTTCTTTAACTTTAAGTTTAAGTTCAAATCATTTTATAAAATTTATACGAGTGGCTAGCCGCCCGATCTTGCCTGGCTAGCGTTTTGCTACACGAACGAATTCGGTCGATTAGCCTGATTCTACTGGCCGTGGTGATTTCTGCCCATGTTCCGGGCAAACGTATTGTCTTTCTCTTTCAACCTTCTCTCTGTCCACATACTAAATTGCTCTTTCTGGATAGGGTCAATTCAAAGATTCTCACTACCAAGATCATCATAATACATACACGTATATTATAATAATTATGGGAGTGCTTATTTAGGCCACATATGGCCTAAATAAGGTAAGGGAGGGGGGTTTAGCTTATTTAGGCCACAGTGGACTGTGGCCTAAATAAGGTAAGGGGGGGGGGGGGTTAGCCTATTTAGGCCACACATGCTCAAACTACCCTTTTCAGGCAACTGAGTTCCTTCCACTTTCATAATGGTGCACTTTTCTGATTTAGTACGGTTTTGTCTCAGTGTACAACTTATAAATCATAATAGTAATATGAATATTGTAAAGAACAAAGCACAATACGCAAAATTTTGCTCAATCCCAATGTTTTGAATGAGGGCCAGATTTTTCCTTCATGGAGGGGCAAAAGCTAGGCTACCATTTTGGCACACTTTGGTCAACTGAAAAGGTCAAATCGTCCGAATGGACATCCGGATTAAATTTGGGGTATAAAAAGTGTGTACACTACGTGGCTGAGTCAAAGTTACATTATCTTTGCCTGAGTGACACTCTCTCGTACTGTCTCGTAGTAGTACATGTAGTAGTAGTAGTACTAGTAGTAGCAAAGATCGTGTAGAGAATATATGGTAGTAGATTCTATCTAGTAGGCAGTTTAGTGAACGTGCTCGCGACAGGGCGAATCGGCCTCGATAAGCCCAGTAGACTTTTGTGATCAGCCACGAAGCCTCGTGTTTTGATGGGTCTAGATCTAGATCTAAACAACTCAGTCTTAATTGCACTGCCACATCCGACAGGCCTAGATCTACATCTTTTTAAAAGGAAAAGAAAGATCATCAAAATGGTTGAATTCGCGTGAAAATCGATTCGGTAGAACTAGAACTATTAAAATTTGCTTCTGAAAACAAGGCAATTTTTTTTGGCCATTTTTATAACTCGATGAAATAAAAACTACTGGCTGTGTACTGTGTTATTCTGTATAAATTATGAAACTTCAGGGCGTATTATTATTTTCCAGCATCTTTTGAAGCCTGAGCTGTAGAGGTTGAAGTTTTCACAACACTAATAGATCTAGTAATAGGGCTTTCCGTAAAAAGTGCATAGATCTCCAA